CTCTCTCTCTCTCTCTCTCTCTCTCTCTCTCTCTCTCTCTCTCTCTCACACACACACACACACACACACACACACACACACACACATTCCTTGTCCTTCTTATAGTTCCTCACATACCCCTCTTTTATCTCTCCCTTCCATGCCTTTGCTCAATCTTTCCTCCATCTCTGACATTCAATCCCTCCTTACCTTCACCTCTTAGAATTCCTTGTTTTCTTCAAAATTCAGCTCATTTACCACCTTCTTTTTTTGGAGGCAATCAGGTTTAAGTGACTTGTCCAGGGTCACAGAGCTAGTAAATGTCAGAGGTCAGATTTGAACTCAGAATCTCCTGCTCCAGGGCTGGTATTCTACCCATTGTGCCACCTAGCTCCCCCTTATCACCTTATCACCTAAATGAAACCTTTCCTGGTTCCCTCCAGCAGCTAGGACCCTACTCACCCAAGTACACCCTACCCCAACTAAAAAAGTTACCTTGTATATACTTATATATGCACCTGCTGTTTTCCCAATAGAATATAAAATCCTTGAGAGTGAGGACTGTCTCATTTGTGTACCCATACCTAACACAGTGCCAGGTACATAGGAGTTTTAAAATGTTTCTTCATTTACTGATTGCCTGCAGTGAGGAAGTTCAGCAATTGCTGACCTCACCAGAAGATCTCTTACCCAAACAGCCTGGGAGAAAGTTCGGAAAGGGCAGAGGACACTGTGGTCCCCATAATCCACACTGTTCACTGCCTCTCCCAGATCACCAGTTATGAAAAGCCCTATCCATGCTTTCCTTCACTTCTTTCTCTCTGGCTATCTCTTCTAAAACCTCACCAACCAATTTGTTTCTTTCCCCTCCCTTTCCAGTTCTGCAATCAGGAACCATGATCAAATTGAGTCTGTCATTGTTCTGGATGGGGTGTGTTGATTTACTCCCCTATAGTGCCACTTACCACCCCCACACTGGTCATCTCTTTGTTTTTGTTGTTCAGTTATTCAGTCCTGTGAACCATACTGTCCAGGGGTTTGGAGGGTTTGCTATTTTCTTAGGCCCTTAACTAATGCTTATTTCCTCCTTCCCTCATTCATTCATTCATGAGCTGGATCCCATCATAGAATCATAAAATACAATAAACTAGAAGAGACAATTACAGAGTGGAATTTAGGGATCATATAGTTTAAATCCCTCGTTTTACAGATGAAGGAATTAAGACCTAAATAGTTGAAGTGACTTCTCCAAGGTCATACCATTAATCCAGAGTTTGGTCTTGAAATTAGGTCTCTATTATAAATCACTGATCACAGTAAAGGTCCCAGAGCCATGCCTATGTCATTACTATGGGAGGATGGACCTCCAAAAGCAAAATGGTGCCAGTAGCTTATGTACTACACAGAATGTGTCTAATGACTCACTGGGGATCAGGCCAATGAAGAAAACATCAGGCTAATGCAATGCTTCCTGGGGAAAATCAATGGTTAGTTCAGTTGTGAGTGTTTTTTCCCCACTTTGCCCCTGCTGCCTTTCCATTGGTTTAACATTCTTTCTCAGGCTGGTTTTAATGGACCTCCTGATAGAATTTGCCTTTCTAATAGACCCTCAGTTAGCAATGAAGACCATGAATTGATATTAAAAAGTCCATTTCTAATCTTCCTCCAAGATTCTGTTTCACACATTCTACCCAACTGAAAGGGAGTTCGGCACCGAGGCATAGCTCAAACCTTCAGCATCAGAGAACTAATCATAGGTGGAAACCTCATAAATATAATTAATGTAAGAAAATCTGTCACAATGACTCTGTGGACATGATAAATGGAGAGAGTGAACTAGAGGTTCCAGAAAATAGACTTTATATGCACACTTTGAAAATGTCTTTCCACTGCTAAAAAACTATCCATTGCCTACCTGATCAAGGGAAGAATCTAAAAGGGACCTTACATGCCTTCTACTCAAACCTTCTCAATTTGCAGATGAAGACTATGGGTAATAAGGGATAATAGAATTATTGAACCCAATCTTGGACTGACTCCAGAGTCAGTGTCCTACATGTTATACTACACTGGATATCCTAAAGGTGATCAGCTTAAGGACAAAGTAAAAATCCATCTGATCCATATTTGTCTATTTTTTCTTTCTTTTAAAATCAGTTTGTAATGATCTTCTGTTTCCTACATCATTAGAGTTATCCTCAGTATTCTTCCACCTCTTCCCATAAAGTCATCCCATATAACAAATTATATCTTTTTAAAGAAGAAAAAGGTCAACACAACTAATTAATACATTGAAAAAGTCCAAAAACATGTGTAACACCCATGGACCCCACATCTCCACAAGGGAGTAAATTAGGGGGATCTTCTCATATTTCTTCATTCAAGTCCTGCTTGATCTTTATAATTTTGCTACATTTACTTTTGTGGAGGGGGTTTTAGGGGAGGTAGGGCTTTTTATTTACATTATTGTAGCTATTGCATATGTTGTTTTCTTGACTGTGTATATTATTTGCTTCACTCTGCATCAGTTCATGTAGTTCTTTCCATTCTTTTCTGTATTCATCATATACTTCATTCTTTACAGTCCAGTAATATTCCATTATATTCATGTACTACAACCCAATCAATGGGCGTCTACTTTGTTTTCACTTCTTTGCTGTCACAAAAAACACTGCTCTAAATTTTTTGGCTTATATGAGGACTTCTTATTGACAACTTCCTTGGGATGTAAGCCCAGTAATGGAGTCTCTGGTTCAGAGTATAGACATCTCAATCAATTTATTTGCATAATTCCAATTGCTTTCCAAAATGGTTGTACCATTTCACAGTTCATGTGCCTATTATCCCACAACTCCTCCAACATTAAATATTGCCATTTTTTTGTGATCTCTGTCAATTTGTAGGGTGTGAAGTGAAACCTCAAGGTTGTTTTAATTTGTGCTTTTCTCTTTCTATTAGTCCTTAGAAGAAATCTTTCAATTGTGAAAACTTTGTAATTCTTTTGAGAATTGTTCACATCATTATCAATTTATTTATTAAGGAATAGCTATTAGTTTATACATATATATGTATGTATGTATGTATGTATATATGTCATTTATATATCTTGTATACCAAACCCTTATCAGAAAAATTTGACAAAGATTTTTTTCTCATTCACTTACTTCTCTTCTTTCCTAGGTGCATTAATTTTGTTTGTGCATCAACTTTTCAGTTTCAAGTAACCAGTGTTATCTATTTTACCTCTTGTTTGGTTAAGAATTCATCTCTGACCCATAACTGAAAAAGGTATATGATCTGTTTCTCTTCTAATTTTTTTAAGTTCTGATCATTTATATTAAGATCATTTATCATTTAGATGATATTAAGGACATATTAAGGAAAATGGTATAAAGTATTGATCTAAGCCTAATTTCTACCAGGATGCTTTTCAGTTTCCCAGCAGCTTTATCAAATAAGGAGTTTTTGTGCCAGGTAATTTATATTTTGCATTTTATTAAAAACTGGTTTATTGACTTCTATTGTTCCTAATTCTCTCTCACATAGTCAGTTCCATCAATCTGTCTCTGATATTTTAAAAAGATCCCTCTATGACTATCTTTTGTAAGGGTGTTAGTATAAAAGAATGTTGTACTTTTTCAGAGGATTTTTCCTGCATCTATTGAGATGCTTATGTGGTTTTTAGCATGAATCCCCTTTGGTCATAATGAATGATTTTTTGGATAAATTGCTGTAGTCTATTGGACAATATTAAAGTTTTAAGTCAATATTCACTAATGGTAATGGTTTTAATTTTCTTTCTGTGATTTATCTTTCCCTGGTTTGTATGTTAAGACTATATTTATTTCCTAAAAAGATTCTGTTAGGATGCTTTCTTTCTCAATTTTTGAGAATAATTTGTGAAATATGAGTACTAACTGTTGTTTAAAAATTTGATAGGGTTATCCTGTGACTCCACCAGGACCTGGAGTTTGTTTTTTCCTTTGGTAGTTCCTTTACACTTAGACCTATTTCCTTTTATAAAACTGGGTTATTTAAATCTCTATCTGAACTGATAGTTTGAGTATTTTATATTTTTGAAAGTATTCTATTTCTTCTGCATTATCAGTTGTTAGCATATAACTGCACCAATATGTTCTGATCATTGTTTTTATTCTTTCGAGTTTGTTGTGAATTTACCTTGCTTATTTGCTATTTTATTTATTTGATTTTCTGCTCCCTTCTTAATCAGATTAGTTTCAGGTTTACAACTTTTATTAGTCTTTTCAAAGAACCAACTTTTAGGTTTATTCATAATTTCTGGATTTTTTAATTCTAATTTGTCTATTTCTCCTCTAATTTTTAATATATCATCTTTTGTGTTTTTATCAAATAGTCCTGTTTATTAGTTTTTTTTAATTTCTTTTTTTTGCATCCATTTTCAGAGAGAATTTCTTTCACTTTCTTCATTATACATCTTCTCTTTTTGTCTACTCTAGTCACTCATTTCCTAACCCCTATAATTATCCTCTATCTCTCTCTCTCTCTCTCTCTCTCTCTCTCTCTCTCTCTCTTTCTCTCTCTCTCTCTCTCTCTCTCTCTCTCTCTCTCTCTCTCTCTCTCTCTCTCTTTCCTCTATATTCCTTATGAAACCAAAAATTCCAAGGTAGCCACTCTGGGTGCTCCTCTCTAGGCAGTTTCTGCCACTGTCTTGTAGAATTTGCCCCTGAGATTCCCCTTTTTCATTGTGCCTCACTCCCAGAACAATGCCAATTCCTTCAAGTGACAGAGAGGATATTGACACGTGACAGGGCCCCCTCCTACCACACCCCTGATTATTCAACCCACCACTGATCCATACCCTTCCCTGGATATCATTCTCCTCCTCTCATTTGCTTCAACATCTTCTCCCTAGGTCCATGCTTTCTCATTCCCCCTAGATGTCAGTTGCTTGAAGGATTACCAACTCATCCCTTACTAAGGTAAGACAAGTCGACTTTTCAAGCACTAAACCTCCAGGCCACACTCAGGACAAAGTCTCCATATTCCTTCACAAACCATCTCTTTTCATGCATAGGAGCATTCAATAGTAGAATCCCCTCTCACCACCAAAGCAATGTCCTTTTCCTTTCCACTTCTTTTTATCCCTTATCTCTTTTTCCTTAACCACTCTACTATAGGCTCTTCTTTTTCTGAGACCAAAGGGCTAACCTTCCCCTCATTGCTAGCACTAGATTTGACCTCACCCTTCACATACCCTCCCATGTTGTAATATATCCCCTCCACAAAAAAAAAAAATTGGTACACTGTAGGCAGGATGCTTCTAGGTTCTTTCCAAAATGCCCCAAGCTGCCTCTTCACTGTTACCTCTATTGGACTTGTACCTTTACCCCTGTCTCTTTGTGTACATTTAAAAAGAAATTTCTTACTGGTCTATCTCTGCTTGCTATTGCTGTTCTTAGTTGCTGCATGTATTCCCACCTTCTGCATTAGTGTTGTTTGAGGTGTTCAAGAAGCAAATAATCTCTTCAGTTCTGATTTTCTTTCTAAAAATGTTTCAAACACATCTTTATCATTGAATTTTCATCTTCCTTCATTTATGATTAAGCACAGATTTTCAGGATAGTTCACTCTGGGCTGCATTCAGAGCTCCAATGCTCTTCAGAACACATTTTTCCATTCCTTCCTACATTTTCTAGTAGATACAGAGTAGTCTTGTGTTATTCTTTGTATTATATTGTATGTCTTTTGTATTTTAAGGTCTTTCTCCTGATTGCTTGCAGAATTTGTTGTTTCTGAATTAAATGACTGAATTTAATCACTAAATATCTTGGAGTTGGCAGCCTTAGGTTTTTTATCTTCTGGAGCCAATTTATGAATTCTTTCAAATGATATTTTGTTTTCTATGTTCAGAAGTTCTAAGTCATTCTCTTCTATTATGTTTTGCATTATGATGTTAAGGATTTTTTTGTCCAGTCATGTTCTTCTGAGATCCTTACAATCCTTAGGTTGTCTCTATTCATCCCATCTTTGATATGAGTGTGTTTTGCTTGCATAATGAGTATTTTTTTAATGTTATGGTTTTTTGCTTCTCTTCTTCTAGATCACCCTTCATTTCTGTGTATTTGCAGCCCTAATCTATTGTTCTCTCTTTTGTTTCTCTGGTGAGGCTTATCATTGCAGATTCCAGTTTTTCTATTCTACCTACTATTTTTGCTGTGTAGCCATAAATTCTGCTCTCATAATTCTCATTTCTTTTTTGAACCACTCAGGACCAGTGTAATGGTTCCAATTCTCTTCACATTCCACAGGATCTTCTGTCTAATCAAGTGTTAGATCACTTTTCTTTGTTTTCCAGTATTTATTTATATATGCCTGAGCTAATTTACCAGATCTAGAGGCTATTTTTCCTTCTACAGTTAATGTTTTCCTTATTGATTTATCTGCTTATATTCAAGGTCTTTGAGTTTTCTTCCTTCTGAGATTTCTGATAATTTCAGGGCATTTTTCCCCCTTATTTCTCCCCATTGTTCATTGTCTGACTCCCTCCTCTTTCATGGTAGATTCCATACAGGCTGGAACTCAAAGTACCTCAGACTGCTCTCTGTTAACCAACTGACTTTTGAGGGGACAGAATTGGCCTCAGCTAGATGTTGAGCTTTTTCCTTCAGATCTGGTGAAGTGTTGCATAGCACACACACACACACACACACACACACACACACACACACACACTGACGTGTTCCAATGTTATGTTCCAGTCTGTCTCTGACTCAACACTGGAGTTGAGAGAGCTGCCACACTGGTGTTACAAGGTTAATTTCTGTAGTTCCAGTCTCTAAGGCTCTGGGAGGATGGGGGATGAGGAGTGTTAAGCTCTATTTCAAGGCCTGACATTTGTCCTACCCCTTTACCTGGCTCTCTTGCAGAGATCTTTAGCAGCACAGATCACTGCCTTTCCCCAGTCCCTCCAACAAGCTTCTGCCTCTAAAGCCTTGTTATGGCAGTGGCACTGGCTGTCAGCTTTCCTGTGGGCACACAGTGCTGGCTGGCTTTCACCGCCAGAGCTGCAGCCTGGAGTGGGAGCCTGGAACCAGGATCTCTATGGCCCTGGAGAGACAGAGGGAGGGAGGACAGTGTGCAGCTCTGGGTTTGGTTGTGAGCCCTTTTGTCAGATCCCTGTATTGGCCAAAGGCAGCCTCAATATTGGTAGTGTGGGAGGTGAGGGAAGGGTGCTAAGTGAGCTCAGTGTAGAAGTTTATACAGGGGCTTGTTTTTGTTTTTACCTTCTTTTGGATTCTGGATGTCCTAAATCATGGAGACAGCTGAACTTGCTTTATCTTTGGCCCATAATTTCTGTTTTAGAGAGGTCTGAGAGATGAGGCCACCAGAGAAAATGTCTAGTCCTCCATCTTGTTGATCTCTTGTTTGATACATGTTTGTCTAACTCATTTTCAATAGCACCTAGCCCAAGGCCAAATACAGCTATTTTATTAATATATATGTTTTTGATTAATTAAACTGATAATTCTGTGTGAGCCTTGAGTACCAGCCCCTCTCCTGTTACTTGCCATCTGAGAATCCATTTCCAAAGCATTCCTTAGGAATGTGAAAATGTAATATCCCCACTTGAAGGCTGTTCTCCATCAGAGAATGGAATGGATTCCACATGTCCAAAGTTCAACTAATCATATATCACAAGGAAAGTGTTTCACAAACCTGAAATTAAAGTCTTATGATAAAATTTTTATTGCTATTATTCCACCCTATCCTCATCTCTTTCCCTACCTCAAAAAAAAAAAAATCAAACTGCTTTTCTTTTTAATTTCTCAGGTTTTTCTTATGAGCACCCATGACATGAATGATGTTATTTTTTGACACATCCTTCTCCCTCATCCCCCTCACCCAAATCATTCAGTAAGTCTTAAGAATTCTGTTTCAGCAACTTCTCTCATACTCACCCCTCTACTTGTCTTTCCTACTACCAGTAAAGTGGTTTAGACCCTTTCTTCCTGGACCATTTCAATAGTCTTTTTTCTTTCCAATGCCTTAGTAAATATAGTGTACCAAAACTAACAATACTGGCCTCATGACATAAGGACATCTAGACATGCCACATAGTAGGCATTTAACAAGTGTTCATTGATTGATTGATCTGGAGCACTAATCTAATCTAATGAAGGTGCTTAGTAAGTATCTACTGTGTGTAAGGCAGGGTGTTATCATCAATTCTTATTATACAATACAATCTAGGTAGAAGATGTAGAAGGTTAAAGTATATATACAAACAAATGGATATAGTCAAACATATCCTCAAAGTCAAGTTTGTTTGTTTGTTTTTGCCAAATCCCTAATAGGATTGTGTGTGTGTGTGTGTGTGTGTGTGTGTGTGTGTGTGTGTGTGATTTAACATATTATCCTAAGAGTAAAGCATTAAGAATGAAATCTATTAAAAAAAAAAACGGGCCAAAGGTGACAGGTTATAAACTACACACTGTCCCCATTATACTTTTGCTATAGCATTTTCAAATAATACTCATTTCCCTATGGTGAAGAGAGAAAAAGTAGCCCCCTTCTCTATTGACATAATATAAATTGCCTCAAATGCTTTCATACTTATCCTCATTTTTACTACAGCCTGTAAATTGCTTTCTCATGGGATGTGGTTTGAGTTACCAAAACAAACCATCCCTTCACTGCTAGTGTTCGAGCAGTTCCCAGTGTCTCAGGATTATGTCTTTTGATGTTTGAGTCCTTATTTTAATCCCCAGAGCCTTGATCAGACAGAATTCTGGTACGGCAGGAAGTGAGGTTCTTGTAAAGTGACCAGTATAGTCCATAAGCACTCTTCCAACAACAAACTCTATCTACAAGACTGCCTTGACATATGTTTATAATCTCTTAACAGAGTTAAGTTATAAGTTAAGTTATAACTCAAATGCCCTTCCATTCATTGTGCCCATTTCAGCTTGTTTTCACTTGTCAGTACTGAACTGGTATTTATTTTGCATCTCTGGAGACAGTATAGCCTAATAAAAAGAATACCACCAAGTTAAAATTCTTGAGTCCTGGATCATCAGCTTGAGTTGGATATTAACTAGCTGAGCGATGGTGGGCCACTCCTTTCCCTTCTGTTACGTGACATCTTCCTTACCTACTCACAGGGCAGCAAATGATTGAATGAGACCATACTTACTTAGGAAATAAAATCACTAGGGACATGCAAAGTGATGGTCTTTTACTGAAAGTAACCTTTCATTTACTTGACAGTGAATTCAACGGATAAATATTTATTTAGCACCAACTCCTACTATGTATGGGTAAGACACTGTGAATTCAAAGACAAAAATGGACCAGTCCCTCACATTATATTGGGGGAACATACCACCTACACAGATGGAAAGCAATTTGGAACTATTCTCCCAAAGTTACTAAACTTTGCACATTCTTTCACCCAGTGATAGCATTAATAGGTCTATACTGCAAGGAGATTTTAAAAAAAGAAAGAAAAGAATCCATATGTATTAAGTATTTATAATGCTCTGTTTGCAGTGACAGTGAGTCAAAAACCAAAGAGCCTCCCATGAAATGGGGAATGGCTGAACAAGTTATGGTATATGAATGTAATGCAATACTATTGCACTATATGAAATGGTTTCAGAGAAAGCTGGGAAGACATCTATGAACTGATATAGAGTGAAATGAGCAGGATCAGGAAAAGAATTTCTATAACAAAAATATTCTAAAAACAATAAACCTTGAAAGAATTAGGAACTCAGATCATCACAGTGACCAACCAAGATTCCTGACTCATGATGAAATAGGTTATATACCTTCTGATAGAGAGGTAATGGACTCAGAAAGCAGTTGGAGAGATTTTTTTTAACGTGATCAATGCAGTATTTTATTTTGTTTAACTATACATGTTTCTAACAAGGGCTTTGTTTTTCTTACTTTCTCAGTTGAGGAAAGGAGAAGGGGG